TACAACTATCATCCTAAACTAAATACATAATTTGGCCATTTTCTTATAATAAACTAGCCACTTTTAAATCATATATGGATCATACATGAAAAAGGTTAAAAACCCAATTAAAAGACTCAAACTAAAAATAGATACAAACAAATTTGATTGGCAAATGAAATACAAAAGGGGGTTAAGCTATTGAAAGACCGTCGAAAATCACAAATCAGATTCGAATGTCATGAGAAACTATCCATAAATGTAAAATCGTATATCTAAATCCAATCAAAAGGTATATAGCAGGAAAGATCAACAAGATTACAAATAAACGTCATCTTGATCACTCGTTGTGACTCAAATTCAACGCTAAAAAAACATAAAATAAAAGAAACGACCAAACGACTCATAAAGAAAATGAAAAAATGTACTATAAAAGTAAAGAAAAACGTACTATAAAGATAAAATTATTCTTACTAAAAAATTAAAAAGAACAAAAAAAATGAAGATCGACAATCAACTTCAAAATTAATACCACCGTCGACTTAACAAAATAAAAAAATTGATCTTTAGAAAACCACACAAACTCTAAAGGAAAAAAAGGAAAAAAAGGGGTAGAGCTGCTCAATCTTCTTGTAACCTTTATCATTGGTAATTGAAACCTTATAAACACTGTTTATGTTTAAATATATAATATAGAAGCATATGAAAAATAATATCGTCTCTCGTGTTACTTGTCTATATTTTATTCTTATTATAAATTCTATTGTTTTATAGCATATAATATTATTACATATTATGTTAAAAATATTGTTGAAAAATAACGTGCATGGTGTGTGTTAAGGTTCACGTGCGTATTGTGCATTCTGATGTTTGTGAGCTAAGCCTAGGGTTGTTAGGTTGTTAGTTCAGCTGTTAGATCTGACAGTTTTAGCACTTGAGTGCTATAAAAGTGATCTGCTGCAGCTTTATGAAACATAAAAAAATAAATAATATTTTTCCATGTTTCTTGGTTCTTTAATAAGGTATCTTTCGCTAAGGGTTCTGGGGTTTCTTATTCGTCATTGATGCGTTTTCTCTGAGTGGTTTGTAGCTGTTTCATTTGCTTGAAGTTCCTAATCGTTGTTCGTCATGTTTACAAATAAGAAGGTAAATGTTGTCTTGGATGAGACGAACTTCATTCTTTGGAAATAGTAGACACTTCTCACGGTTCGTAGTCACGGTCTAGAGAGGCTTCTCAATGGCACGATGCCGGTTCCACCTGAACTCGTCATTGAGGTGAATGGGGCCTCTGTTGTTAATGAAATGTTTGAAGATTTCATGGCACAAGACAGTGCTATTGCCTCGTGGCTTCTTTCCACGATTAATGCTCATCTTTTGCCTCAATTTTTTGGTATTGAGTCCGCCACAGCTGTTTGGAGTATTATTGTTTAGTTTTTTGCCAACAAATCCACGACGACGGTGATGAACCTGCACTACAAACATCAATCATTGAGGAAAGGTGATTATTCAATGCGTGTGTATCTCACTCGTATTAAGAAGGTTTGAGACACTCTTGCGTCGTATGGTAACCCAGTGTCATAGGTGGAGTACATTATTAGCATTTTGAAGGGCTTGCTAAGAGAGTATCAATTGTTTATGGCCATGATAACTAATAGCCTATTTACACTTCCTCTTGATCGGATTTACTCTATGCTGATTGATGCGGAGACATAGCTGGTCGATTTTGATTCTCAGGCTGAGAAATTTCCTATGAATGCCAATGTTGTTCAGGGAAAAATGCACACCAGCTCTATAGGATCTGGTAATACTCGTGATCATAAACAACAACATCAATCTTCGGTGCGTGGTGGACAATCTGGTGGTAAAGGTCAAGCACGACTGTAATGTCATCTCTGTGGTAAGGCCGGTCACTCAGTTGATAGATGTTGGTATCGATTTGATCATGATTTTGCAGGTGTTCTTTTGAATAATGCTCGGTCACAATACAAGGACGAGTCAAGTAGTGTTAACTATGTTAGCCTTGACAATAATAGTTGCACGTGTTGTGCTAGCAAGTATGGTGTTGTTTCAATCCAAGTTGGGGTAATGCCTCAAGCCACCATGGCCTCATCTTCTCATACTCAGTGGGTTGTTAACTCGGGTGCTACGCATCACGTGACCCCTGATGCTTTCAATATTGCTCAGCCGACTGATCATGATGGTCTAGGTAATCTCTTGGTTGGGAATAGAGTTTCCCTTAGTGTGAATATGGTTGGTCGATCTGTGTTGTGCTTATAATCTCAAGCTTTGTTATACTTACCGATTTGTTACATGTGCCTAAAATCACTAAAATTTTCTCTCGGTGTCAAAGCTTGCTAGGGATAATCACATATTTTTTGAGTTTCATGCTGATGGATGTTGTGTTCGCGATGAGGTGATGGAAAAATTCTTTTTCGAGGGAAGCAACGAGGTGGTCTTTATACATTTGCATTGGATAGTAATTGTAATAAGGCAGAGGTTCTTTCCGATGATGCTTTTTGTTATACTTTTGATCTTTGGCATAGAAGATTAGGGCACCCAACTTTTTCACTTTGAAATATGTATGTAAGTCCATTGATGTTACCATTCCAAATAATGCGAATCACACTTGTGTTGCTTGTTGTTTGGGTAAAAGTCACAAGTTATCTTTTGTTAAATCTACCATAGTCTATGATGTGCCTTTCCAGCTTATTTTTACTGATCTTTGGGGGCCCTCACCTGAGCCCTCGACTGGTTTTCGATATTATATTTCCTTTGTGAATGATTGTACGAGGCATACATGGGTCTATTGGTTGATGAACAAGTCACATGAAATTTTTGCTTTTCGGTTATTTCAAAGTATGGTTCAGACTCAATTTCCCTTACCAATCAAAGGAATGCAAAGTTATTGGGGAGGGGATTACCGAAACTGGTCGAATGAGTTAGCTCAGGCAGGCATTTTCATGGGGTTACTTGTCCTCATATTCATGAGCAGAATGGGGTTATTGAACAGCTGCTCAGACAGACATTTTTCATAGGGTTACTTGTCCTCATACTTCTTAGCAGAATGGGGTTATTGAGCAGAATGAGTAAACATTGGCATTTGATCGAGTTAGAACTGGTGTTATTGGATCATGCATTTCTTCAAATTCGGTTTTGGTCATATGCATTCACCACAGCTGCTCATCTAGTGAACAGGCTGCCAACCAAGGTGTTAGGCAATATTTCTCCCTTTGAGAAACTGTTAGCGAAGAAGCCAGACTACAAAGTTAAGCAGGTGTTTGGTTGTAGGTGTTTCTCGCACCTTTAAGATTTTCAACCACACAAACTGATGCCACAGTATCAAGTTTGCACGTTTTTTGGGATATAGTCCTCAACATCGAGGGTTCCAGTTCCTTGACCCAAATGGACGTATCTTTATTAGTAGGTATGTCAAATTTGATGAACTTATCTTTCCTTTTGCAGAAAAAAAAATGGTTTGTAGATCGTTGTGCTCCGCTCTCTCCATGATCAACAGTACTTGAAATTATTGATGAGAACCGCAAGGTGTGTCCTCAAGTGGTCGTACCGTCGTAGACAACTACTAGTGACCCATCACAGGCGGTTGTTGTTTCAGGTGAAGTTGATCATGGTTCTACGACTGCAAGTTCTTGTTTGGGCAATGAAGTTGGTCTTCCTGCTATGTCCGCTGATGTCCCCTCTCAAATTGTTGCTCCAGTCACCAGTGATGGTAATAGTAATGGATCTAGTCAGCCTCTTGTTAAAGAGTTTAGTGGTAATAATAATTTACCTATCATCAATACCATCTTCAAGCCAAGGGTATTTGTTAGTGAGTAGATACCACTATACCTGCTGATGTTCATCAGGACATGAAGTCTAGTAACTGGGAAGTTGTTGTTCAAGATGAATTAGCTGCTCTACAACGAAACGGTACATGGTCATTGCTACCATTACCAGCTGGACAGACAGTAGTTGGCTGCAAATAATTATTCAATTTGAAGCAAAATCCCGATGGCACAGTTCATCATTACAAACACATCTTGTTGCAAAGGGTTTTTCACAAGTGCCGGTCAAGACTTTGACCTCGAATGTTATTTTATCCCTTTCTATCACAAACAAATGGTCTCTGAGACAAGTGGATGTTAACAACGCTTTCTTATGTGGCGATTTGAATGAGGACATTTTCATACAACAACTACCTGGGTTCGAACAATTTGCTACGGATGACACCAAGCTCGTTTGTAAGCTAAAGAAAGCTCTTCACGGGCTACGTCAAGCACCAAGGAATTGGCATACCATGTTGAATGATAGTCTCATGCAAATAGGGTTTTATTCATCGAAGGTTGATGCATCGTTTTTTATTTCTCATTCTCAAGGGGTGTATAGATATGTTCTTGTCTATGTAGATGACATCATTGCTACGAGGCAGTCAGTTGTTGAGATTGGATGAGTGGTTCGTTTTCTCCGTGATATTTTTTTGTTGAAGGATCTCGGTGATCTGCACTATTTTTTAGGAATTGAGGTTCAACGTTGTGATGATTCTTTGGTTCTAACTCAGAAGAAATTTATTTTAGAGCTGTTGGAGAGGACAAGTATGTCGGAGGCTACACTGACCATCACTCCTATGATTCTCAATAACAAGCTTAGTCGCGATGACGGAAAACTGCTAGAAAATGCTCAAGAATTTCGAAGCATGGTCAAAGCGTTGTCGTATGTCTGCCACACGATATCAGATATCATCTACAGTGTGAGCAAGGTAGCTCAATTCATGCATGAGCCACCTGAGTGTCATTTGTTGGCTACCAAACGAATCTTGCAATACATGTCTAGAACTGCGGAGTATGGGTTGGGTTTTTCTCTGTCTAAGGCGGCATTGCGTGTGGTGGCGTGTGCTAATGCAAATTAGGGTGGTTGTTCTGATGATCGAAGGTCCATATCAGGCCATTGTGTGCTGGTTGGTGATAATATGGTGTCGTGGAATGAGCAGAAGGTTGTCTTGAGGTCAACCATTGAGGAGGACAAGTATGTCGGAGGCTACACTGACCATCACTCCTATGATTCTCAATAACAAGCTTAGTCGCGATGACGGAAAACTGCTAGAAAATGCTCAAGAATTTCGAAGCATGGTCAAAGCGTTGTCGTATGTCTGCCACACGATATCAGATATCATCTACAGTGTGAGCAAGGTAGCTCAATTCATGCATGAGCCACCTGAGTGTCATTTGTTGGCTACCAAACGAATCTTGCAATACATGTCTAGAACTGCGGAGTATGGGTTGGGTTTTTCTCTGTCTAAGGCGGCATTGCGTGTGGTGGCGTGTGCTAATGCAAATTAGGGTGGTTGTTCTGATGATCGAAGGTCCATATCAGGCCATTGTGTGCTGGTTGGTGATAATATGGTGTCGTGGAATGAGCAGAAGGTTGTCTTGAGGTCAACCATTGAGGAGGAATACAGTAGCTTAGTTGATGCTGCTCCAGAAGTTGCTTGGGTTGATGCGTGTTTGACCGATCTTGGAGTGGTTTGGCATGAGAAGCCCATCATCTGGCGCGACAATACCAATGTAATTGTGTTGAGCACAAATTCAGTTCATCATGCTTATTCCAAGCATGTGGATTTAGATGTTAATTTTGTGAGGGAAAAAATTGTTGGAAATCAGTTATGAATTAGCTATGTCCCTGCTGCTCATCAAGTTGCAGATGGGCTAAAGAAATCATTATCCAAAGCAGCTTTTACAATGTTTCGTGAGAGGGTGAACGTTTGTCTGCTGAAGAAAGGAGAAGAAGTAGGGAAAACGTTGAAAGATAATGTGCATGGTGTGTGCTAAGGTTCACATGTGTAGTGTGCATTCTGATGTATCTGAGCTAAACCTAGGGTTGTTAAGTTGTTAGTTCAGCTGTTAGGCTGTTAGATCTGACAGTTTCAGACTTGAGTGTTATAAAATGATGTATTGCAGCTTTATGAAATAGAGCAAAATAAATAGTATTTTCATTGTTTCTTGGGTTCTTTAATAATATAAATCAAAAATATATAATTATTATTTTAAAAAAATTGATAATTATTCTATAAAATAATATAATTTATAATTAAATTTTATATTAACAAGGGTTGGTATTGGCATAGTAAATGTAGAAGTGCATAAGAGAATGGAAAATGAATGCATGTTTTAAAACAATGAAAAATTCAATAAATTCATGGAACATTGTTCCTGAAATTTGCTAAAGAGATAAACTTCAGCACTAGTTTTTTTTTCTATGTAATTTGCGTATTAATATCATCAATCATAATTTTAAAACAATTAAATCGATCAATATTTGAACTATTAAAATTAAAAATGAGTAATTTATGTGTTTTTAAAAATATTTCAAACGACAAAATTGTGAATTAAAATTGTTTAAATTCAATGGGAAGTGAATAAACTAATACATAAAAATATTATTAAAAATGTTTAGTTTTCATAGAGGCATACAGGGCGGAGCCAGGATTAGATATATACAGGGGTCGAAATATTAAATTTTTAATAAAAAATACAATGACTTACTAGGTATTTAAACTTACAATTCAGAAAACAATGTTTGATTTGTCTAATAATTAAATTTATAATGAACCAAATTGTTATTAGACAAAAAAAATTGAGAACATTGAATTATCATTTCTTTTTTTTTTTGTATAACCACCGGTTTCAAATCTATTGGTCGACTAATTCGGATCAGATACTACATAGGCGAGATAACCCTCCTAACCCAGTTTGTTCTATTCGCAATCACCAAGATTTGAACCCCTGGCCTTACTTAAGGGATCTAGTGCCTCATCCCGCTAGACAAACCGGTTGTTGGTATTTGATTATCATTCTTTAGTTCGCCCCCTACTTGATTAAATATCTAATAAATTCTTATATTTCTTAATTTAAATACTTAGTTTTACATTAAACAAAATACTATTAGATTAAAATATATCGAACATAATTTTTTTTATAGGGGTCGAGCCACTTCGGGGCCTTAGGGAACTCCGCCCACTACAAGAAAATATACCTTTAATGACACACGAACGATGACACACGCTAATTTATGACTTGCAAAACATGTGTGTCATAAAATAAATGTCATGTTTTTTAAAATCTGAACGATTTATGACTTACAATAATGTGTGTCATATTTAATAGTCATAATCCATAAAATTTGCAAAAACACGAAGTATACTTTTTAATTGTGTGTCATCTTTAGGAGTCGTATTCTAATTTCCCCCATTATTTTCATCCTTCCCCGCTTCTTCCCCTGCCTAATGTTTTCCACTCCTTTCATTCTCTCCTTTTCTCTCATGCTTTTCATCTCGATTCTCTTCTTCTTGTTAGGCCCGAGTTTGAATCCCTAGCCTCTGCCGCCCATTTCCGCCTCTGATGAACTCGATGATCTCTGTCTCTTCCACCGCACCACCGTCTATCCCTCCACCTCGTCCTCATAATGATCCCACTCTCTTGTTCTATAATATCAGTACGATTTTTTTTTTGGTTTTCTGTTTAGTTGTATTTACAACTTTAAACAGACGAATCGACCCTATTCTTCTTCTTGTTTGTTTTGTAAGTTTCCTCTTTGTTTTGTCTATATATTTGTTACTCAGTTTAAAATACGAGTCTATTCTCTAACAAAATTTTAATGGTGATTTTCATGTTTAGTTTTACAGATGTTGCAGAAAACTGAGAATCCAGAAAAACCCATGTTTAAAACTGAATTCCCTCCTCAAGGTTTATTCTATTACCGCTTTTTTCACTGTTTTGTTATCTATTTCATTGTAACCTAAAGATTTATTAAACACGTTGTTTAGCGGGGTTACTTTAGAATATCATGTCTAATTGCTGAGGTGATTTAATTTGCATATGTTTGCTTTGAGCTTATTTGAAAGTGGTAAATGGTTATATTTGGTGTTCCTATTGGTGTTCCTTTTTTGGTATTTTGTAGATTAATGAGGAGGCGAGTGAGAAAGTTTTAGAAGTGGAGCAGAAGTACAATGAAATACGCAAGCCAATCTATGATAAGCGGAATGAGAAGATTAAGTCGATTCTTGATTTCTAGTTAACAGTTGTAAGCTCTTCTATTATTTCCTATCAATTTAGGGATTTTCCCCTTAAATCTGTCTCCATGTTGAGAAGAAGGATTTCAGTTGATTTGTTCTTTTATGTACAATTTTTGAGTCATCCTGCTCTTGGTGAACTTTTGAATGACGAGGATCAGAAGGTTTAATATCACTTCTTTCCCAAACTGAAACTGGTTCAACACTTATATTACTTTGCAAAATTTATTTTTAGTTCAATTTATTTATTCATTCATTTATAAGAAGTGTTATGGATTTTCCTGATATGTAATTCTAGGTAATTTCTTTCTTATTTATTCATTCTTCTTATTTTCAACCTTTTGTTGCTTGATAGATATTTAAGTATATTAGCTCACTTGAAGTGGAAGATTTTAAAGATTTGAAATCTGGCTACTCCATTACATTTGTAAGTTTATTTATTTTCCTTTTCTTATCTTATTTTGTAGGAAATTGAAGTTGCATTTTACATTTAATCATGGTCTAATCAGTCATCACAATTTGTTGACTGGCTTTTGTTATATTTTTCAGAACTTCGATCCCAATCCATACTTTGAAGATGCGAACCTTACGAAGACCTTTACCTTCCTTGATGAAGGAACCAAGATTACTGCTACCAAAATCAAGTGGAAAGAAGGCATGGTAAGGGTTTCTTCTCTTGTCATGTCTACTCATGTTATTTATTTCCTTTGGTTATCATGTTAAATTAGTTTTCTAAATGTCAAGGACTTGCCAAATGGAGTTGACCATGAGAAGAAAGGAAACAAGCGACAGTTTGCTGAAGAAAGGTTTGCTATCATATTTGTCAATCAAATTTCTCCCCAGCCTGAGGACTTTAGTCACATAAAACCTGAGATTAATTTCTCTGTTGTGTAATGTAGTCACTTCATTTTTTCTCTCAATAATTTTATTGAATTTCAGCTTAGCATCTTATAAGAATCTTAGTTATTTCATGAGTCATCTTCCTTTTGTTATGTAGAGCTAAACCTTGGCAGATAGAGTTTTCCTTTTATAGTACAGACAAATTAAGATTACACATGCATTATGTATTATTGTGTATTGTGATTATAAATAGTATGCATTTATATGTTTCTTTTAGTTTATTAAGTTGCATTATAAATTCTAACATGGTAGGAATTTGTTGTACTGCAAAGCTTGGGTCATTTATGATATTGTCTTGTATTTGATTTTGCCTCTTTCACTTAACCACCATCTCTATATTATACTAAATTTATTAGACATGAATGCAACTTCTTTACCTGGTTTTCTGATGCTCAGCAGAAAGATGACATGGATGAAATTCATGATGAGGTAAACTCTTTATGCATGTGCTGTATGAATGTAGGTTTTCCTTCTTTTTTTCTCATTTTGTTAAAGAGTTGGCGCCTGGCCTAAGCTTTCACTTGATAAACACTACAGGTAGCAGAGATTATCAAGGATGATTTATGGCCCAATCCCCTCACATATTTCAATAATGTAACTTTATTTCCTTTGGATTCTTCCATCGGTTTTGTTTTATACCATTTATGATCATCTTATGCTTCCTTTAATTTTTTTCATAACCTGATGCAGGATGCTGATGAAGAAGATTTTGAGGATGATGAAGAGCTACATCATCTTTTGCCTTCTTTTTTCTTTCAATTACTAAATTCATAATCTTCCTGTAGCATTTGTTCTTGCATGTTTTCTTTCAGGATAATGGCATGATGTAGGTTTTGTGGTCTTTATTTTAACATTTTTGGTTTATTTTTCAATAAAGATAGAATAGATTGGTCTATTTTCATTGTAGATATGTTTGTAGGACATGCTTACTAGAGTTTAGCTTGTAGTTAAAATTTGAATTCATCAATTGAGTAATAAATTGCTAATAACAAAAATGTGAATATAGAGCTCCCTTACTAGGGTTTCTCAAATGGTTGGAAAGGATGCATCCTTTTAGTTTCAAGTATATGCTCATTTTCTTTTGCTGGAGCGGTTGTGAATGTGACATTTGTGTGAGATATACTCCTAGAGCGGCTGGAAAGTATATGCTCATTTTCTTTTGCTGGAGCGGTTGTGAAGGTGACTTTTGTGTGAGATATTCCTTCTTACTTGAGGTCCCAAATTCAATTATACATTTTGTTAGATTCATTTATGGCTTGCTGCATAATTGAGTCAAGTTCAAACTACCCCTGGTAACTCTATAGCTTGGGTTTCTTTTTCCAAACTAATTAAACTTTATGTTCTCTATGGACCTGGAAACATAAACCGGCTAAAAGGGTGGAGTTGATAATGTTCTACCGTAAAGAATACCCAAAACTGTTGTAATAAAACCGTCAGAACTTGTGGCTCATTTTCTTTCTTCTTATACTTATTCCAAGTTGACAAACAAGGACTTCCCATAGGTTTACAACTAATGGGTCGTCCATGGGGTGAAGCTACAGTTCTACGTTTGGCTTCTGCAATCGAGGTATAAACAAGTTTATGTCCTTGAAAGAGAATGTTTTGAACTCTATATTCGAGGTTGCATAACTAATTATAAAGAAAACGTCTCATGTTTCCAGGAACTTTGTATAAAATCCAGGAAGACACTTGCTTCATTCTATGACATCTCAAAGGCCAAGTAAGAGCCTTCATGGACTATGTTATATTGCAGATCCTTATGTTGTCTCTTCAGAATCACCAATAACGATGCATCTCTAAACATCGTTATCTTATTTGATGTATCTTATGTGGAAAACTTTATTATGCCGTGATATTTTGTATCGACATATGATTACAATATTTTTGATAACTTAATGTTAATATATTGTACGCAAATGGATTGCTTATATATAATATGATATATATATTTTAGTATTATAAGGCATTAAATGTGATTTAGTTTGATTATTTGTCAATCTACAATATATATATATATATATAATTTACGACATACAATCACGACACACGAATGTGTGTCATCTTTTCTAATAACGTGTGCTTCAATGACACGCAATGTAAGTCATAAATTCGTGTCATAAATTTATGACACACAAATGTGTGTCGTCTTCATTTATGACGGGGGCTTCAATGATGAGCAATGAGCGCCATAAATGTGCATCATAAATGCGCGTCATAAATGCGTGTCATAAATGTGCGTCATAAATTTATGACGCACAGTTGCGCGTCATCTTAAATTCATGTCGGTGGCTTCAACGACAGGCAAATGTGTGTCATCCGCACCCATAGATGATGCGCAATGCGCGTCATTAAAGGGGTTTTTTTATACTAGTGGCCCCTGGTCAGGCAGACGTAAAGAAGAAAATGCATGAAATTTGTAGTTTCAAAGTTGGTCAAAATCACTGGATTATTGTTGAGTGACGCTCCATTAATCTATGCAAACTGCATGATTAATTTAATTAAATAATAATAATAAATGATACATTAATCAATTAAACTTAAACTAAATTAATTAAAATCTGAGTTTGACCTTTTGACTATCCACCCATTTGCTACTATAAATATCGAAACGTTTCTAACTTCCTGACTCACATCGCAGTCTTGAAACTTCATTTTGATAGCCAAGTCGTCTAAGAAAGCTATAACTTTCGGAAATGGACGGCAAAGGTGGAAGTGGCAGAGGTGGAAAAGGTAATGGCAGCCGCGGCAAAGGAGGTGGTGTTATAGGTATTACAATCCGAGACGATACAACGAAATAATAATTAAAACAAAATGAATAAAGTACATTAATTTGTATCAAAGTGTCATGCCACCTTCAACGCATGCAATACCAAATAATTGGTATGTAGCGATAAAACCAAATACAACCAACAAATATATTCATGAATTTTTTCCATGATGATTCATCAAATTGAGGCAAAGGACGATCTACACCTCGGTAGGATCTCATCGCAAAATTCGTGTACATGAAACAAGAATAAAACAAAACGATGAATAACATAGAAAATTTATTCTATTTAATAATCAAAACGAGTATAGAATCAACGATTGGAACCGAGTTGAGGCATGCAACTCTGCAGTTTTCTTAAGACATTTTCGGTCACTCTTTGGTGCTTGAGATCTTTGGTCATCTGTCTCCCAAGATACAACAACGAGATGATCAGCGCACAGTAGCACAGCTGCCGAGATCACGAACTATTCCTTGTCTTCGCCTATCACCAAAAACTAGAAAAAATAATTCCTTTGAATTGGTTTTTGAGTTGTTTTTCATCGTGTTTAACCTAGTAGGTTAACAAGGTATTTATAGGGAGTTCACATTGTGAACAATTGGAAATTTTTTGACCTAATGAAGCATTATGAAAATCAAGCAATTAAGAAATTTCCAAAATTATTGTTTTGATTAAAGGAACATTTTTAATATTCATCCTTTTAATTTCAAAACAGATTTTGAAAAGATATGTTCTATTTGAGAAAAATTATTTCACCTTTGGGTTAAAATATCCGTAAGGCCACAAAGAGTTAGACCGGTTCGAACATTTTTGTTACCCACGTCGTGCTCGTCTGTACATTTATGAACCAACAATTGGTTCCACGTTTTCCACAACGACGTTTGGGTAAATTTCTCATTCAAAACTCCAAAATTATATTTTTTTCCAACAATCCCCCACGTGAATGAAATTGATCATTTTATCAAAATCATTTTGACTTGATATGGTAATAGACTCTATGATCGATAATTGCATAGGATAGGTAGGTGTCCTCCTTTGAAACTTCCCTTGTGACAGCATATTTAGTTTATTAGCTGGCTAGTGGACGTGATATCCTTAAATTACTCTACCGTTTGTGTAAAAGATGGTATACTTCACACAACTACCCCTCTGACAAGAATTTTAGTTCTCATGGGTAAGTCCTTAAAGCCATGGACATCGCCTGGTTCTACAAGAGTTTGAAAGAACTATGCCTAATAGTCTTCTTGAAATGGCCTCACTTCACATTCACATAGGTGACTTATGTTGCTCGACTCTTCGAAGCACACAATGGTCATTAAAAGTTTTGCTTAGCCTATACCAATTTGATATTTGTTTACATCATAGGAACGGACTTGGGATAATAAATCCCCACAGTGATCGTTCATAGTTTATGCAATTAGGTTGTCCCTTTGAACCAAGATCTTGGAATCTCCAGTCAACAAGGTAAAGTTTTCCTTCACATAAAGCCTTTCATTTCATGGGCTTTAGTCTCATTCCTTTCGATGTTTTCTCAATTTGATCTCAATATTAACCCTTCGGTTAGTGAATTTATGATATTATCCTTTGATCTTACAAAATCAATAGTGATAACTCCATTTGGGATCAATTGTCTAATGGTATTGTGTTGGTGATGTATATATCTCAACTTACCATTATACATAAAGTTCTATGCTCTACCAATATATGAATATTGTGGGCATAAACTTTGGTCATTCAAGAATATCCTCCAAGAAAATCAAAAATCATTCAACTTATTCTCTAGACTTGTCTAGAGCTACAAATGCTTATTCCATTTTTAATTTGGTTATAATTGTTTTCTTGAGGATTTCTATGACATGATTCCTTTTCCCAATCTGAAACATATTCACTTGTGCCTTTGATATATTGAATATAAGATATTCAACTGGCATCCGAGTATACTTCTATACTCTTGAGCATATCTGAGATATCTCAATTCAATCATAATTACTTTTTAGAGGTTTGTCATAATGACAATATCTTCATTTCAACCTTTCATTGAACATCTAGACTTATTTTTGTTGATAGTCTTCAATCATCTTCCTTAGTTATATAAGGGAATACATTTTCAAAGAATGAGTTATTCTTTGATTTCGTTATCGTGTTCATATGAATCTCGGGATTCTTTGATTCATACATAAGATGTCAATATGTCTTGCTATAATCTATATAGCCAATATAATCCACTGATTTGGGTTTTCATTTCCTTTGATAATGAGATCATTATCTTTACAAGACATCCGCACATTTTTAAGTAATTGTAGAAAGATTTTCTACATTCATATGGTGTCTTGTCAAACTTTTCCGGAGAACCTTATCTAAAAGGTAACTAGCTGGAAAAATAGCTTCCCCACATGTTTTGTGATAACCAGAACTTCTTAGCATTGCGTTCATCATTTCCTTTTTAAGAATTAATTATGCAACTTTGCTACCCCATGATAGTGTCACTTTATGAATAATATCATGTTGTGCAGAGTAGTGAACAATTAATGATTCAATTTATTCACCACCATTATCACTTATTACCATCTTAATGATTTTATTAAGTTAGTTTTCAACTTTGAATTTATAGAGAATACATTTCTCTATAGCTTCTCCTTTGCATTTTAGCAAATATATATCAATACTTTTTTATATCACCAATGAAGGTAATAAAATATTTATTCCTTCTTGTTTGTAAAAGTAGATTAGGTAAACCCATTATTACAACATGAATTTAATTTCTAGAATAAATTTGCTTTCAAGATCTCACTTTACAAACATATAGAGATTTAAAGAAATAAATTTAACGATTTATTTCTTTCCAAGAAAATAAATTTAATCCACCTATTTATTTTCTTTTTTAAATCATGAAAATAAATCCAATGATTTATTTCATTTTACAAACAAGAATCATAAGAGATTCCCCAAAAAACAAATTCAATGATTTATTTCTTTTTACAAAGCAAGAAAATAAATCAAACGATA